TCAGTAACTACGCTCCACCCTTTACAAGAAAGTAGGTCTTTGGGATAACTGCTAAATAGGGAACAAGACAAGTTTCACAAGCAAACGGGAGGTATTACAAAAGTATATATACATTAGGAGTCAAATGCATTCCCCAAATGGCACAGCCATAAACCAGACCCAACCACAGCAGTGCTTCATCTGCTCCCACGTAGTCTCCCTGGTGGCAAAGTTCTGCTTATAGCCTGCAATCACTGGGGCAGGATTTGCCCCTCCCTGTGCGTGACAGTTATCTACTCTAAAAACAGCTTCCCAAACTTGATTGACTGGAACCCCTGCTACGTGGTGAGCAGGGCTGGTTCAGGCATGTTTCAGAAGATGATAAGGAGGTGACTACGTTCTTAAGTTACTTTTTAGGACAGTGACAAGTTAAGATGCGGGAAGAAATATAATAGTTGCGTTTCTCGGAAGGACAATGCTAAAGGCAGAGAGGACTTCTTCCTGTGCTAAAGAAAATAAGCCAATGGAGATATTTTTAAACTCTTCGGTAGACATTCCCAACAACTCACTAAGTAGCCCTGCAAGAGACTTCTGTCAGCCTAGGAGTGGAGCCAGCACTCTGTTCACATTCTCCTGCCCTCCCACTCCCCCTCAGCTCCTTTTACCCACTGGAGACAACTACACAGCTTAAATCTGTCTTTTGTCTGGACAGTTCCTTGTCCTGTCTTTTCTGAATTGAAATATCTCTCTTCTCAGTTTCAGTACACCATCTTTAATCATTTATGCATCATTCTTGGTATCAAACTACATGTAGGCAGTGCTAATCAATCTCCAGGACTCCTAGCCAAAAACAAGGACTCCAGCATTTCCTAGAAATACACTTAAAAAGACAATTACAGAACAATATTAGCCCAGCTCCAAAGCGGAGCCTGCTCCACACTAGCCACCATTTTCTGCGATAAAAATCTGTCTGGCAACTGATTAGACGAAAAATAACAAAGAAACAGAAATAGCAGGAGTTGGGGTGGGGGTTCAAAGTTTCCTTACCCCTCAGAATTAAGTACTCACAGAGAACAAACAGGATCACAAACTCCAAGCTTGCATTCACCACCTACCTCCAGGTCTGCTAGGTCCCCACAGAACAGCCCTTTCACTCTGCGCAGCATGACCGGCTCACTGTTATCCATGTTCACAGGAGTTTTAGCTGTTGCCCAACGCCATAAACAGTGCATTGTTATTACTATAATCTCTTCCAGAACTAAAGGATTTTACAAGCAGTCATTATTCTTGTTTTAAACATAGGTTTTCAAAGAAAGAAAGGAGCCTGACAACGAGACAACAATTACAACAGCGAGAGCTTTCAAGCTTCACAATGTCTAGAGCAAGTCACTGAGCAAAAATAGTCTTCACTCCAGACTAGAGGGAGTCAGCAGATATTCTAAGTAAGAGCTGGTGCTCTATTTCTGACAGGAGAGCCTGGGAGCTTCTGTGCTTCCCTGCACGGCAGCTTTATTTGGGAGAGGACTCGGGGGAGAAAAGGGAGGGGGGGAGAGAGAGAGAGAGAGAAAAGGAGCATTGTTTCTCTCACCGCTAAGCTACAAAACTGCTTGCACTTAGGCTGTTTTTCAAAGGTGTTATGTCACAGATTAGCACAATCTTGAAATACTCCCTTCAGCAACAGCAGAAATGGAAGGGGAGTCAGAACAACTTAAAAAAGCAAAACCCGTGAGGTGAGGCTTTTCTCCCGATTTGTCCGTGACAAGCAGCAGGCCACAGGGAGAGCCCTCTGCCTGCGCACACCTCCGGCACTGTACCTACGCTCAGATCTTGGAGGTGGCCAGGGAAAGGCTCTGCTGCAGCTGTTCTCCAAGGCTCTACAGGTACTCAGCAACTTCTCCAACTAGTCTCAGAACCTGGAAGTCTCCAGAAGCCAGGGCTGCGTGCCTGCCATGAATACATGATTACATTTGTGGAGTTTTCCTTCTCTCTGAAGTAGTCTTTGGAAGGATTAAGAAGGAAATCCAGTATGACTATTTCAGTTTTACAGTGAGCTAGAGAGGGGAAGTCATTCCCCAACATCTTGTACACCAGCCCCAGAACTAGGTACAGGACTCGAGTGTCCTCGTTTTCATTGTCTGACCTACTCAGCCGTCTCTTTAAATGCTCCCTAACCACTTCTCTCCCCAGTCATGTAACAGGCAGTGTGCATAAAGCTAAGGGAGACCACTAGATATTTCTTAATAACTAATCTATTAAAGCTCCTTCTGTCAGGGATTTCCATTCTGAAAGCACTCGGCTGAAATGCAGTTTGCACGCTGTATGAAAGCTAGGCAACAGCAGCAATGATCCCACCATACCTGTAACGTTTCTGAAAGACAACTCACAACAATCATCTCCCCTGCACCGTCTGCTGATGTCCATGCTACAATCACCAACAGTGGCACATTGCTATTTTCTAAGCAAATAACAGGACAAAAAACCCCAACCTTGCAAGAACAGAGCAATTAGTTTATTAGCCCAGCTATTTCCATTTCCCCTAAATTACAGCCTGTTCCAGCAGATCTACTCAAAAATAATTCTAATGACCCAACGGATGTTGCAGTTCTCCTGTACAGCTGATATAAATGCTAGAGAAGCTGTCTGGAGCTGTGTGGAATTGATGCAGAACTTTTAAAAAATAGCATACATTCGGAATCACAGAGGGATTTAAATGCTTCATACACCTCTTATGTTTCTGTCCCAGAGAACAGAAGGAAGGGAGTTCATTAAATTGGTCAGTGCTTGGGAGGGGGTGGCAAGGAAAATGTTCTCCTCCTGCTTTAGAGCAAACCCGAATTCGTTCACCTTCTCAGTGACCACACACACGGAAGGGGCTGTTCGCTCCCTGAATTAGCAGGATGTGGCAGATTTGAACTGTCCACCTCCCTCCCCCCTTCTCTTCACCTCTTCCCTTCCCCCAGTTCTGCAGGCATCACAAAGGATTTTGAAAAGAGCTTCAGAGACATTCTTTGAGGCTCAGGCAATTCCAGTAACCGTAGAAACCAACAATAGTCGGGAGCTTGGCAGTTTGACCGCAGCAACCGGCCGCTTTCTGTTCTCTCGTTCTCACTGCTGCACCTTCAGCCGTGCTACTCAAAGCCCTGCTGGGCTGGAAGGCAACATCCAGCATCACTTTCAAAATAAAGAGTAGTAAAAAAGGAAACAACTCGGTCCTGAACTGCTCTGATGTCACCGGTCTGCCTAGTTAGAACAGGACCAAGCTGGAATAACTTCTATGAAAAATTGCTGAACTTTCCACTCAGGCAGCTTTCTGCTGGAGTCAGAAGAGAGTTTTGGCTTGTCTAAGGTTCAAAGGAAACTGAATGAGAACACTGTGATCTGGCCTGCAGAGCCAAAAAAATGGAAGAAGAATGGAAAACTCCTTGTCTGCTCTGCTTAGCCATCAATGGCCTAAGCTCTCTTACATTGCCATTAGTATCACACAGAACTGAAGCGTCCCCAGTCCAGACCAGCATGGCTAAGTCCTACCCAGTCCAGACCAGCAGCAACAGCTTGATGGTAGTGCCCTGCAGTCCCGGAGTGCCCAGTAACCACCTGAACACAGCTGGGATCTCGGGCTCCTCTTCAAAAGAAAGAAAAATGTCAGAGCCAGGAGCAGGGGGCCTTGGCTTGTCTGATCATTTCTGATTCCAGCAGAAGTGCCAGATCATTCGGTGCAGTAAAGAGGCTTCCAGTGATTTGCATGTTAAGAATTAAACTGTAAAGATCAGAAGCAGCGCTGGTCTGCGAATGTTACCAGCTGATGCTGGCCACCACACACACCACCACAGGAGAGTTATTCATTCCATTCTTTTATACTGATGCAGTGCTCTTTGGTGTCAGTTTAATCCAGAGACTTTACTTATGGAGGAACTCTCTTGGTTTTGAGCAAAAACTCCCACTCAGTGAAAATCCAAATCAAAATCCCCCTGCTCATTACTGGGGTTGTGGTCCGCTTGATTTCATAGTTAGGAGTGCTGTGTGAGGCTACACAATTTCAAAACCATCGGTCTGGGATGAACTTGGAAACTCTGACCCTTTTTGCTAGTCTAAGTTTAGAGGGACACAGTGCTATTGACTATTTTTGGATCTTCACTAATTTATAATTGTGGCATGTATTCTTTTAGAAACAAATAGGCTGTAACAACATTTTCGTCCATTTGTTGCGTCGCTGCACAAAACTGTAACTCTTGGTTCTGCTTCGGCTAGTACTGGACACAGCATGTAGTGTGGTACAGTATTATTATCTAAAACGTAGTAAGCAATTAAGTTATGGCGTCACGCTCAGAGCTGGCAGGCAGAATGAGAGCAGGCCCTGGTAATGCAAGAGCTTTGTCTCACACCAAGCAATAGGTATGAGACTGCTTTAAACGATGTTAGGAGAAGATCTCTACTGTCTCTGGGAGGAGGACAAAGGGGAGGGTTTCAGCACTCCTGCTGCTTCTGGGAGAAGTGCTCTTTCCACAAAAAGACCCTCTGCACAGAGGGTAGGCACAGACCCCTACCTTGCCTGAAAGTAGGTTCAGGAAACTAACTTAAACCCAGCAGGCAGCTGGGAATGTTGAGAATGTCTTGAAAGGGCAGGAAGGTTCTGTGCTGAGAGTCGTTTTCTTAGTCTGGAGGAGGCTGAGGGGAGATCTTGTTGCTCTCTACCACTACCTGACAGAAGGGTGTAGCAAGGTGGGGTCAGTCTCCTCTACTGAGTAACAAGTGACAGGATGAGAGGAAACAGGCTCAGGTTGTGTCAGGGGAAGTTTAGATTGGATATTAGGAAACATTTTGTTATTGTAAGAGTGGTAAGGCATTGGAGCAGGCTGCCCAGGGCAGTGATGGAGTCCCTGTACCTGGAGGTGTTCAAAAACTGTGCAGATGTAGCACTTCAGGACGTGGTTTAGTGATCATCGCGGTGTTGGGTTGACAGTCGTACTTGATCATCTCACAGGTCTTTTCCAACTTTAATGAGTCTGTGATTTTCCCCTTACCTGTACAACTTCTTTCCTCACATTGACAATGTCTAACCAGTCATTGAATCTTGGGTAGCTGTTGAGCTCTGCTGTCCTGTCGTTCAGGGGCACGCTCAGCTTACACTGCCGTTGTCTGTGGATGTAGTCAATCAGTTTCACCTGTTGGGATCCAGAAAGTAAAGAGTAAGTTCCTGGGAATATGCTGTCACCTCCCTGAGCATTGTTTGTGCAGCACTCAGCCAAAGGGGAT